AACAGTTTTTGTGTCTGCCACAATATGAGATAGTTATAAGCTAAAGCCATTCTCCCAAGCTCCTACTTCCAAGGTTGACATCTCGGAGCTTTCAATTTCTGGCTCTCGAGACACCAATTTGGCAACAGGAGAGACGGGCCATGTAACTGTTCAGCTCCATTGACAAAAATGTGTCTATACAACAAACAAATGTTACAAGAGGCAAAATGATTATGATTCAAGTGCTCACGAGACTGCCTTGAATGTCGCTTTTTTACAAGAGGCTGTATGATTATGATTCAAGTGTCCGTAAGTCTCCGACTACCCATTTCTTATCTGGTATGGCACAAAGACACATAGCTAATTAGCACTTGTGTATAGTAATCGCCTTCGCCTAGTAGGCGTATTTAGGCTTTCATCACCTATAGCTAAACAGTTGTTGCAGCCACAAAAACAAATAAATCGTAATTGACAACAACAAATAAAAAAATAACACATTAACAGTTCGTGTTCTAGAGTGTATCTAAAGCCCAGCTTTTAATGTCAAGCCAAAACAAAGTTAGAAAAAAATAAAGTCCTTCACGTTTTGTAAACAGTGGGACTTTTAGGTCTAATTAGGGGTTTATTTGGCTCAATTCTCCACAGGAGATGGTGTGAATTTACGGAACTAAAAAATAAAACTGTTTTGTTGTTAATGATGTTTATATATAAAACGTTATTTAAGCTTGGTAAACAACAGAATTCTAATCTCTTAAATGATATTTAGATAAAAACACCTTGTCAAGTAGGATGAATATAATCCCAGGTTTGAGACATATACATGCACTGTTTTTTCCCCAAAACGAAAGCTCATGAAAACAGACAAGCATACATAGTGTCTGTATCCAAACCAGCCTTCAGTTACTTTACATCAAACTCATTTGTATTGTGTTGAAACGGAAACTGTTGAAGTCTATGGTGATGTATCCATGGTGATGTATCCATGGTTGGTTTCCATGGCGATGGCTAGTATTTGACCATTAACTCCTCTGGAATATACAGGGCTATTTTGTTTGGATACATAACAATACTATCACCTTTGTATTTCTGAGAGAAAACACCTATACCAGAGAGAAAAAACATATACCTAGAAATTATGGCCAGTATTTCATCCCACCAAAGACAAAACATGATCCACTGACAGCCTTTACTGTTGTAATAATGATTAAAACATTCACTACGGCCTTGTGAACTGAAGGATGTGTTTGTAGACAATTACACTATCTATATACAGGTGTGGGTTATGGTCATTGTTATATAGACCATCAATGACGTTAGGGACGCCACTCTGTTAGAACAGAGGCTGAGGGTTGATTTATCATCGTATGTAAGTCCTGAATGATTCAAGATAGGTATTTCCAGGCAGAGCATTCCGTTATATTACCTGACGGATACTGTGAAGGCGTTTGGCACCTTGGGGTGTTAGGAGCCGTGTAGAAACATTGACAGGTGTGAATGTGCGTGTTAAACATGTAATTAGACTGCAATCGGTTCATAAGCAGGGATGTCAGATCAGAATGACAGATGGAAAAAACTATTGAGTGCGCATTGGCTTCTAAACTTACTTCCCAACTTAGCCACAAACGTCTGGCCTGTTTAATCTTACCATTCATCAAAGGCACAAAGGTTGTTGTGAGGAACCCTTCTCCATCCGTTGATTTACTGCAGAAGATACAGGTGAAAGATAATTGATTTCATGGGAAGAGAAAAAAAATCATTAATATTGTGTTACATAATCTCGATCTTCTTGTGGGACACAAACAGAAGCTGTTTTATTAAGTATGTATGCGGGGGCTGCGATGGCCAAGTGGTTATAATGCATCTGACTGTTTACGATCTCCCTACACCAATGGGTGGCGAGTTTCGGGCCTACGTGGGGCAGTCGCCAGGTAACTGGCCAAAGGTTGGTTGTTTTTCTCTAGATACTTTGGTTTTCCTCCACCACCAAAACCTGGCACGTCCTTAAATGACCATAGCTGTTAATAGGACGTAAAACACAAACAAACAATTATATATAATGCACCAGACATGTGTATGTGAATGATACCATCAAAACATGCTGGTTTGAAATCACTAAACAAACTTCAACAAGAAATTATATTTCTGAGTTAATCAAAGAATGACAAATGTTTTTTTTCTAGTTATGACTCAAATACATTGTGCACTTTTCATAAATCCACAAACTATTTTATGCAGAAAAGTGTACACAACTTTTTAGTTTTCGATACGTCCCTAATTTATAAATGATGTTTCACTTCATAGGAGAAAACCTCCTTGATGTGGACATTTCACTTCTCTCGGCAGACTGGTTTAGTTTCTGTACACACTGAGGGTTTTTACGTGTGGGTGACTGAAGGGATTATTTCAAGGAAATGCACAGATTTTCAACAGTAAACACTAATTAGTGATGATGGATATACACTGTGTAATTAATACAGGGGGAATAATGTATGTATACTTGTCGTAATATTTTGATAAATCGAATAAAAACAAAATTTAATGTAATTTTAAAATTCTGATTTCCATTAGTTAGTTTGTTATGATACATCATTGACAGAATCTGTGTGGAAGTACTGAACGACTCTCGTTTTATTTTTCTATTAAAGATACAACCCTTTGTTTGCAAAATGTTTGCGCAATCTATTTTGACCAATTATCTCTAATTGGAAATATTTCATCCTTTATCTGTCTGTTTAAACCTTCAGAATTATTCATAATGTGTATCAGACATACCTATATGAAATGTATATATTTGAACGACCAGACTTTCCTGAAGGCACCTGTTTTTCTATAAAGCACAATTTTGGACGTTCAGAGAATTTTCACCATCCAGATGACTTACGCTTATTATTCTTGTCGGGATAAAAAGACAATTTCAAACCAAATTTAAAACAACATGTTTCAAAAATAACATGGGTGGTCTACAAACATCTCATGAGAAGTCTTTTTGGACCATCTTCATGTGCATGGTCTGGAATAGGTACAATGGAATTTTATATAAAATCTCAGTGTTCTAGCCAAAATAAGGTCCCTGTTACTGTAAGCATTCATATAGGCAGCTTTCCCAGTGGGATTACTGTATTTTATCTTAACTCACCCCTGAAGACTCATTTTAAATCTTCCAATTAAAATGTTGGAATAGTGCATTATGAAATTACAGTGGTGAATGAGTTAATGTTGTATGTTACCTTTTCTAGTTGTGACATGAATGTCCAATCCAAAAGAGTTCTGCACTATAAGCTGTAAGATAACTAGTTGGTTATTTTGACATAGTTAATAATTAACTGATACGTTTTCAAAAGCATACACAAAAAATGATGACACTGTTGAAAGGTACACAAGAAACAATGACACATTTGAAGAATACAATAGAATTGATGACACATTTGAAAGGTACACAAGAATTGCAGATGATGCATTTGAAAAATTCCACTAGAATTGATGACACATTGAAAAGGTACACAAGAATTTATGACTTATTTAAAAGTACTCAAGAATTAATGACACATTTAAAAGTACACAAGAATTACTGACACATTTAAAAGGAACACAAGAACACACAAGAATCCATAGGTTGATAACTCTAAGGTTATTCTGATTATCAGTCAATGCTTATCAAATACATTTTTGAGGGAGGTAACTCTCGACACAGAAAACGTTTCGTGTATGAAATGACTTGAGCACAAAGTAGAGTCACTGTTAGTCAAGGTTAGTCAGCAGACATTTAGGGGAATATTTGTGTTTTCTAAGTCAAATACGGTAACAGTATTCAAAGAGAGGTCAAAACATTTGGTTTTACCAGCATGTCCATCTGCTGTTATTGAATTTACCCCAAACATACTGCCCAACTGTACCAGGTCCACCCGATTGACTGGCACATAGGTAATGTTGCAGACAGAACAATATGATTACAAACTGACAATGTGATAAAGAATGCCCAGGTCCAGGTTTTGATATTTGGGTTGAGAACAGAATCACAATTATAGTAAGAGTGGTTGTCTATGAGATGGCTGGTGATCTTGTTACATCAGCATGCAGTGTTGTAATCACTCCGCTATGTAAACGTCTGACCTTATCCTTCTCTATAAGGTGTCTCATTATATCGTAAAATGTCTACAGAAATATTACGAAAATTTAAGGAAAAATATTCTATTGAAATATGCTGACTCAGCAGTCCTACATGTCCAGGCGTGGTGTCCATAAATAACAGAAACTTTCTGGTATTCTTTGCCTTCCACAGGTTAATCGTGTAGGAGAGTACGTACGGCGCTGTTGACCCAGTGATGATAAAACTGTTGTAAGGTGTCTCTGAGTGATACAGACAAACAGTACTCTCGTGTATTGTGTGTGGTTTTCATGGTGATGATAATTCTGTAAAACATAATTTAGTTAAGCTTGTCTGAGAATCATTTGGCAGAAGTAACTTAATTAAATTTAAAAAAAAGAGGTGGGTTATATTTAATGTTTATGTACATTGCAAGTTAACAGTTTTAAAATGAATAAACACAGGGTGAGAGTTCGGTGTGAGTTTGTCACTAATTACCTTACACCTTGTCCTTGTCACCTTTAAGCTGTCCTCAGGTATAATAACCTCTGTCCTAGTCACCTACAAGCTTGACATTGTCCTGAGGTAAATAACCTATGCTTCTGGTTTTATTACATGTAGCTCTGACTTACCGTCAACCTTTGTGACTTTTATAGAAATTTTACAGTTACATTCCCTTCAAGAAGCTCTTTGAAGTTTTTGGCAGTGCCGTTTGAGATCGTTTTGGGATTTGTATATTTTGCTCATATAGTATACTATAGACTGAATATTGATAGAGTGTCTGATCGGTTGAGAGTGCAGTTTCCACAAAATAATGTTTTCTTTGAGAATTAAAACATAAAGGTGTTGAGCAGTAAAATGTACAAAAATGTTTTTCACAAAATATGAGTTAAGATAGCATTTTCTTATCAAATTTAATACTTGTTTGTTTCAACAGCCCTGGGGTCACAACAGTTCACTGCCCAGCCAGAGAATACAACGACGACCCAAAATTCTACTATAGTTCTTCAGTGTGAAGTGAAAAACCGACAAGGCACGCTTCAATGGACACGGAACCGGTTGGGACTTGGGACCGTCCGTGCACTGCCTGGATTTCCGCGCTACTCCATGGTTGGCGGAACTAACATCATTGGAGGCGACACGATTGGTGAGTACTTTAGTCATGTGACAAGAAATCAAACTTCTAATTGGTGAAGTTTTTATCATATATTTATAAGTATTTTCCCAACTAGATGCTGGAGACGAGTACTGTGTAGTCTCCCCTGCTTCTGAAGGAATCGGCGAGGAGTACCTCCTTCATTCGTAAAGAAGTCAATGTTTCATATACTTTTTCATGATTTAAATATTGCATATGAGTTAAGGGCTCAATTAAGCAGAGATCTTGGTAAGTTAGAAACTGATCATATGAAAACATTACCAGGACCCACTTGCACAAAATTCTTATTTCTCAATTCTAAGGCTATAGGTACTTGCTGAACTGCATAGCATTGTTTTAATGTCTGTTGTGATATGAAAACAGGGGAAATATTTCAATTGTCATAGAAACACAAAAAAAGACATTCATTTTTCATATCTCTGGTGCATCAGCACAGCAGTAAAATTGTAGAAGTATGTTTATAAATGTTCAATTTGATATCGCTGTATCTGTGTATCGGTATAGAGATCAGTGTCAGGTCTGCGTTTATATAGATGTTAGTACATGTTCTGTAGTCAAGTGGTTTGTACTGGCACGGTGTCAGTGGGCTTTTGGCATCATCAGAAATCACCAATATCATGTCATATTTAATGTTGTACCTACCATAATTTACCTGCAGTAAACACCTCTTTACAGATTCTGGAACTAAGAATTGCTGTGTGGCAGATTGTGGTTGTCGTGGGTTGATCCCTTTTGGTAGCTCACTACTTTCTTTCCTGTTACAAATAGTGTCTGTGCCCCCCCCCCCCCCCCCCCCCCTAAGGTGACAGGGAGTTAGAACCTGGGCTGTAGTTCTGTGCCCCCCACCCTTTAAGGTGACAGGGAGTTAGAACCTGGGTGATGTGGTGTTCCAGAGCAAACATATTTAAATAGGGGTGTGGGGGTTGAATTGAACATGAAATTACGGCCGACTTCTAGTTTTGAGCTAGGGGGATTTTCCCCTTGGCTTGATTAGTAGAGCGATGGACAGGGAAGCTGGGGGTCAAGAATTCGAAGCACACTACTCGCTTTCCTGTTACAGCTGTATATTCCACTGCATGATCATACGAGGTTACTAATAATCTGGTGCCCTGCAAAATGTCTGTTTTTTTCTCCTGTGTCGTCATCAGACATATAGAACAAAGTCAATCTGCTGTCACCATCATAACACTAAGCTGGGACCTATTTCTTTACTTCTCTTTCTATCTTTCCTTTTTGACAGTATCTCTGGTTAGCCTGTTGTCTGTGTTATGAGACGGATGGAAGGTCATGCTATCATGTCATGGTCATGACATTTCAGTGAGATTGCACTTTTAAAGTGCCCCTAAAACAACCCCATAATTTTTGGGCACTTCCTTCGTGATGACCTTAGCTGTTGCAAGGATGCAAAACCTAAAAAATCAGACCTTTAATTAACCTAGGGAGTCCAGTCCTTTAGAAAAATGAAACTGGGAATGGGCTTAAAAACTTCCAAATTTGTCCCTGCAGAAAAGGCTTTTTCATACAGATGTATCTATGTTTTGTTATGTCATAAAACCAAGGGGTGGGCTCAACATCAGAAACATGAGCTTATCATGTGTAAGGTATAGTATAAATCTTGACAGTAACAGGAATATGGACTCAAAAGAACTTAAAGTTGACCCTATTTGCCAAGAGAGCAAGAAATCACCTCAAATGGGGATGGGCTTAAATCTGAGCACGGGCTTATTTGATGTAAATACGGTATATTCATGACAGTATATTAAATCTTGTAACTTACACTTGAAGTGATCTGTGTTTGATAGGAGAATTTATAGCCACTCCAGTATAGACTCTCGACCAACTCATCATGAAAATTGAATCAATAATTAAAATCAGGAAATAAAACATGTAAAAAGTGAAAATTGAAGGAAATTGAAAATAAATTGACAAAGCTCTCCATGTTAAAGGTTTTATATGGTAGATATAATTGGAAAACTATATAGAAATGACTATAAGGTATCAATGACATTGTAAATGATGTACTTGGTTACACTGTTACGACTCAAGGAGTATCACGTACCGTACTTACCACATTTAACACTCTTGTTGGTGCTTATTCTCTGATCACTTAAAAACAATCTCTGATGACCTTGAAATTATTCTTTAATGATCTTAAAAAATCTCTGATGACCTTAAAATTATCACTGATGACCTTATAAATGAATTTCTCCTGATTACCTTGAAAACAATGCTTTAACCTCACAAAAAGGTTCTCATGTCCATGAAATAATCTCTTAGACCTTTGAAATAGCTTTTTGTGACCTTGCAAAATATCTGATAACCTTACAAATAGTTTCTGGTGACCTTGAAAATTGTCTCTTTAAACCTTGAAGTAGCTTTTTGTGACCTTGAAAAAATCTGATATAACTTTAAAAATAGTTTCTGGTGACCTTGAAAATTGTCTCTTTGAACTTTGAGGTAGCGTTTGGTGACCTTTAAAAATCTGATATAACCTTAAAAATAGTTTCTGGTGACCTTGAAAATTGTCTTTTTAAACTTTGAAGTAACTTTTAGTGATCTTTGAAAATATTTGATAACCTTAGAAATAGTTTATTGACCTTAAAATTACCAGGATTCACAATTTTATGGAAGAAGTTTACCAGTAGGATTTTGATGTACAGTAAACAGTAGGTGAACTGACCCCTGGCCTTTCATCTCTGGCTAGTCAAGTTTATGATAATAAGATGACCATCAATTCAGAAGGTTTTGATAAGTGAGATTGTTTGGAGCAGGAGTAGGTCTGCTATGGTTTAGCTGACCTTGGTAGATCAATGGGAGTTTATATTACACAGGGCATTAGGACTAATCACCAACACATCACAGTAACTATCAGTAATTCTGTTCTGTGTTCTTGGGCAGGGCCAACTTTGATCACTTATAATTAATTGATATCCCATATTTTAAAGCTAGTTCCTTGTAGTTATAAATGAAAACAGATCCCTGAGAATGATGCCATTTACTGATACATACCATTTACTGATACCATTTACTGATACCATACCATTTACTGATACATTTACTGATACCATTTACTGATACATTTACTGATACCATTTACTGATACCATTTACCTAGAAAGGTTTCAGGCGCTTCAACCTTGCAGTTTCACTCTCTGTTATGCGGTCAAATTGAGCACATATACTACAAGCGCAAGATTTCTACTGAAATGGATTCAAATGACCTCTGGATATCATCAGTGAAAATGCATATTCATGTATTTATATTATTCAATCTGTGTTGAAGTTGCTCATGCCAGGGCAAAATTGAAATATAACATAAAAATAGTCGCTGCTTTTTTTTCGTTTTTGCATTTTAATGTAGTTGAAATTCGTAACCACAAATATATCGATACCCTGTGAAATACAAGAATACTGACACGCTATCATAAACAAAAATATAACCACTCTAGGAAACACATCATCCTTTAACTGTGGCAGTACTGTCAAGATAAAAGTATTCACCTACAAAAACGTGGGATCCTCTTTATCAGTCTGAAGTGTCACACCCATCAGGACAGCTGTCTGACACCTAGTGTACAATTTGTGATGGAGATTATTTTGAAATATTAGTTTTTGTTGAAGTTCTTGAAAGACATTGCGGCTCGTCTGTTGCCGGAACAGACAGTGATAAATCAGACCTCCATTAATCCTCTTGATGATTGTCATGAAACATTGAAAATTGTTTACCTGAAGTAGAGAGTGGGAAATATACTGAAAGAAATCTCATTAATATAAAAATGATCTTTAAAAACTTTTTTACAGGAAGAAAATGGAAATGTGTCTCCATGTTTTGTTACATGGAAGGCTTCTGTTTGATGAAACATCTAGCATGTACTCTAAGATTTTTTCCTTAAGAGAAATTCCCCCATTTTGTTTTTGAATTTGTTTTGGCAGAAAAGTTACTGGATTAAATAATAACAAATTTTTTGGTTAAAAAGACACTTATGCTAACAACTCTGTGTTAATTGTCGTGGAGTTCCACACAAATCCTGGCCCTGACTCATCCGATGTAGATTTATGTCTACCGACACATAGCCTGCCACACAACCACGTTAGGACGAGGTCAGCAGTCAGTCGTTATACGGACCAGATGAAAGATGATCATTACACCAAAGACATTGGTTGTGATTTCTACATTCTTGACTATATCATATCTAATTGTGTCTGATTACAAATAACATCCGTTATTTCTGGTCAATGGGTTATAATTACAGCAGCTTTGACCAGTGTTGTACTGGTCAGTATTCCTACACCAACTTCTCATCACTCCTGGTCAGTAATAACTGCATGGTTGTACCTATTATCAGTGTGCAGTGTTAGCGGTCAGTCTGCAGTCAGCTGTGGTCAGTCTGCACACACACATGGACATGATAACAGGCTTTAAGTAGGATTTGATGATTGGTAGTCTGGAATGCCATTATTCACATTTGATCGGTCCAGTGGAAGGCAGGGACTGTGAAGATTGATGATGTTAGGACAGTGGTCTGAGTCTCATCAATGACAGGACAAAATGTCTGACCACTCCGATTCCTTATCACGCCTGACATATGTTATACAGTGGTCAGCACCATGACGGAGTTACAACTTTTCTGACAAGTCCAGTTTCCTGTCAGATTTCCTTACAATTTTCTAATATCACTCAGGACCTCCATACCTGACACCTATCCTATCTACATTATTGAGCTGTTGGTATCGTGAGGGTTAACTTTTGTCTCCAGTCCAGTTCCTTATCACAAGGGTATTTCCTGTATATGGAAAATCTTTGCTTTTTTCTCCCTCAACAAATAAGGCAAATTAAATTTTACAGCTAATATTATTAAACAACATAGAATACATAGCGTAGTCATCAGATGTGAAGGACAAAATAAACTCAGGGCAAATATTGATTTTACAGGCGAATGGCAAAAGTTTGATTTGGCTAAATTTCCTGATATTAGTATAACAGTGCATAGG